CCCTGGCCTCCCCTTTACCCTGTATTCCCCTTTACCCTGGCCTCCCCTTTACCCTGTATTCCCCTTTACCCTGGCCTCCCCTTTACCCTGTATTCCCCTTTACCCTGGCCTCCCCTTTACCCTGTATTCCTGCTCCCAGCTCATCTCTGGGCTGCCATCTTCCATTTTCAGCCATTTGTTCGTCAGACCATGTGACAGCCCAGTGTCAGGACCTGCTGATGCAGTGACCTAACGTTCCCTCCCGCTCCTTCCCGTTTGCAGCCTCACACTGCGCCGTGTCGCCCATTTCTCCGTGTACAGCCATTCTGTCATTTCACCCGTAACGATTAGCAATTACAGCTAAAATTTAGCCTCATGGAGTTAAAGGAAAGCTGTATTGGGACTGTTATGGTTCCATTTTAAGGTGGTTAAGTTGATTAATTTATATTATGTGTCTGATTCCATCCTTTGAATGTTCTGAGACTGTTTGCTCCATTTACTGTTGCTGATAGAGCAATAACACGAATCCCAGGCGGCAGATTTTACAGATTTATTTTACACTCAGATCATTTCCGTGCCTAAGACGTTTTGGGTTCACTGAATGCCAGGCCTCTTTTCAGCACAACAGCTAATGAGCCTTTGGTATTACCGTCTTCTGGTCCGTGGTTTGACCCGTTTAAATACCTGTTTATCTTTAATAAAGTTTGGGTCATGTGAAGAGCCACCTCTAGTCCATCACTTTCCATTGGGCTTTTGTGAACCTCGCTGTTTGGCTTCTGAAATCTCCTCCTCCTCCTCCTCCCCGTCGCAGGAGGCAAAGGAGGCCCTGGAGGCAAGGGACCGCTACATGGAGGAGATGTCCGACACGGCGGATGCCATCGAGATGGCCACCCTGGACAAGGAGATGGCGGAGGAGCGGGCGGAGTCGCTGCAGCAGGAGCTGGAGTCCCTGAAGGAGAAGGTAGAGGAGCTCACCATGGACCTGGAGATCCTCAAGCACGAGATCGAGGAGAAAGGTGGGCTGGCCGTCTCTCCCGTGTTGAGTGTGTGTTAAGCTAACGTCGGTTCGCCGAGTTTGTACATAAAGATCCACTTCCTGTAAAATGACACACTAGACAGGTAAGAGCTCGCAATCCAGACGTAAGCAAATGTGCTTTTGAAGCTATAGATTCTGCGGGGTTGAGCTCATGTCAGCCAGGGGCACATCAACTTATTTTGGGCCCCTAGGCTGCCATCAGCATGGACAATGTCGCATTTTTCCTGCGGTGGGGCCCTGATGTTAGCTGGGGCCCTGGGATATAGAATCGAGTGGCCTATGCTTTAGTCTGCCCCTGTATGTCAGAATCACTGGAGCTGGTCTCCTTTGATAATAATAATTTGGGGGTTTGTACCCTGACAAACCCCCCTTAGATGTCACAGACAGACTAACTTGCATTAGCTGTTTCTACCTTGTTCTGGTCGCATACACACACTTGCATGATGTCTCAGGTGGGTTAACACATTAGTTGCATTTTCAGCAATATATCCGAGTTCGTTATGACAAAGCCAACAGATAGTCTTAGTCTTTTCGAGTATTCTCTGTCCGCAGTTGTCATTTATTGGGAAACCGGAATGCTCCCAAACCGATTTATGACTGACTGTAACCACCTCGCAGCCACAATTATCATAATGTTTTCCGTGTTAAATATGTACATGCTAATTTAAGTTCTGCCCATCTCGGCAAAAGCATTTATTCATTTCATTATGCGTACTGAACTGAAAATGATGTACCGAGCGGTACATGATGAATAAGTGTCCTATTACAACCCTATTTAATGTGTAATTGAAAAAAATGTATTTGATTGGATGGCACGGGACTGTAAAAAGCTTGCGTATGATTCGATGGGACTGGTCACGTCATGTGTAAACCGTAGCGTTCGATGAGGACGTTGCACTCTCGCCTGCGTAAACGTGTTGCTATGCCCCGCCCCCAGGTTCTGAAGGTGCCGCCTCCAGCTACCATGTCAAGCAGATGGAGGAGCAGAACGCCCGGCTCAAGGAGGCCCTCGTCAGGTCAGATCCCAGACTGCACGGGCAGACTAGTCTGTTTCCCAGAATGCACCTGAGCAAGCAGTATGTGAATTAAACTTGACATTTCAGGATAATACACTCAGAGTAAAAATCAGCCCACAGGTAGAAATAAACATGCAGGCCATCCATCCATCTTTCAGATGGTAATCCTGGTAAGGCTTGGTGGGTGCAGTGCTAAGCCAATCCCAAGTTTTACCCATAATTCTCAGCATAGACTCGTGGGTGGTGCTCTTATCACAAGACATTTGGTTTGAGGAGAGCCTGAAAGTTTCTTCTCAGAAAAGGTGTCTCTGGCCTGTGCCTTGAAGCAAAATGAATGTGGCCGTGAAATTACTACCTTCCCACACGGTTACTGACGGAGACCGAGAGGCACCCCCCCCCCCCCTGTGGGGACCCAGGCTGAAAGGCGGACCTTCCACAGGATGAGGGACCTGTCCACCTCGGAGAAGCAGGAGCACGTGAAGCTGCAGAAGCAGATGGAGAAGAAGAACACGGAGATAGAAGGACTGCGGGCGCAGAAGGAGAAGTTACAGGAGGAGGTGAAGGCGGCGGAGCAGATGGTGGACGAGCTGAAGGAGCAGGTGAAGCTCAGAGCCTGGGCCACACACCCACACCCACACCCACCCACCTCTAGGGCACAGGCTCGGAAGACTCCAGTCTGAGCCTGACTATGGACAGCAGCACACATACTTTTGGGGGGGGTGGTGGGTGGCTTTGTGGGTTACAGTGCTGTGTCTGTGATGGGAAGGTTGTTGGTTCTAATCCCATGGTGGGCAGAGTGATGTCACCATTGCACAGTCTCATGCAAGGCCCTTAACTCCCAGTTGCTCCAGGGACTGGGTGACCCCGCTCTCTCAATGTAAAATGTGCACGACTCCGTTCTGGAAGACATTCTCTGAAGTCTCCAGATAAACTTGAGTAGATGGTAGCTGAATGAATGGTTACCCGGTTTGCATGCTGCTTCGACTCAGTCATTGACCTTCACTGATCTGCTGACGTACTGTGTGAAAGGGGCCTCCCTGTGTTCAAACCCCCCCCCCACCCACAGTTTTATTGGTGTAACTTTTTCCGGTGAATAAATTCCATGCTGATATAAACTTATGAAAAACAAGGTTTATATTTCTCAGAGTTTCCACATTTCACTGCATTCGCCTGCTTGCTTCTCAAGGGGGAAAAAATCTTAGCATAACGGATTATGTGCAAATTATCGATTTTCTCTTACAGACTGAAGTGAAATTTAATGCTAGAGCAGAAACAGATAAATGGCTTTTTTTGTGATTGAGGACCCATTAATATGAGAGAGGCTGGAAAGGTTCAGTCGACCCATTTACGCCTCGCCGTGCGTGTTATTCTCGAGTGCTGCGTGGTGGATTCCATGTGATTTTACTGCCCTCATGTTGGCATGGGTGCGACAAAAACCCCGTCATGGAGCCGTAACTAATTCTCTCCGAGTCACGAGTTTGACAGCCAGTCTCCCGTTCCCGCGGTGCCTCAGGTGGACGCAGCCCTGGGGACAGAGGAGATGGTGGAGACCCTGACAGAAAGGAACCTGGACCTTGAGGAGAAAGTGCGGGAGCTCCGAGAGACCGTCAGCGACCTGGTGAGGAGCCGCCCCCTTGTCGCCATTGGTCACACCTCCCATCTGTCACGATTGGGACCACCCCCTGGTCCGCCTGATAGGGCGGAGGCCTCAGTCCTGCACAGCGTGGCCCAGAAATTCCTTAAAAGTTCTGCTGATAGGTATTTAGCAGTAATGAACTGCAATGCAATGGTTGTGGGTTCGAATCCCACACCCAAATAGTACTGTAAGTCGCTTTGGATATAAGCATCAGAAAAATGAATGCATGAATGAATGCAATGTAAATATGGAGCTGCAGATAAAGCATGCCCCCCCCCACTCCCCCCGCAGGAGGCCATCAATGAGATGAACGACGAGCTGCAGGAGAATGGCCGGGAGACGGAGCTGGAGCTTAGGGAGCAGGTGGACATGAGCGCGGCACGGGTGCGAGAGGCTGGAAAGCGGGTGGAGGCCGCGCAGGAGACCGTGGCCGACTACCAGCAGACTATCCAGAAGTACCGCGAGCTCACGGCCCACCTCCAGGTGGGTGGTTTGACAAATATTCTGCCATTTCGAATGTGATGCGCAAATCTGTGTGCACCACCAGGGGGCACCCTCCGCTGATCAGGATGGTGAGGAAGGTGACAAAATAGGTTTATCAAATTTTGCTTAGTGCCCCAAAAAGCATTGGGCCAGCCCTGGTCATATGCCACCGGGCTGGCTCCATGTACTAAGGCGGAGTCTTAGTACCCTTTGTCTCCAATCACAGGAGGTGAACAGAGAACTGACCAATCAGCAGGAGGCCACGAGTGAGCCACGCCCTGCCGCCGAGCTCTTTGACTTCAAGATCAAGTTTGCCGAGACCAAGGCTCACGCCAAGGTGGGTGTGGGTCTCTGTAGATGTGCCCCACACTCCCGGTTCGAGGCGCTCACTGCCTTCCACGCCCCCTGCAGGCCATCGACATGGAGCTGCGGAAGATGGAAGTGGCCCAGACCACGCGACAGGTGGCCCTGCTTACCGCCTTCATGCCAGACTCCTTCCTGCAGCACGGCGGGGACCACGACTGCGTCCTGGTCCTGCTGCTGATCCCCCGGCTCATCTGCAAGGTGCCGCCCCAGTCCCTAGGGGGCGCGGCCGTTAAGGGCCACGCTTATTCTGGCTTTTTTGCCAAACTCGTGCGGACGGGCACCAGGCCCTCGATGAGTGAATGAGCGAGTGTCTCCGCCCTGCAGGCAGACCTGATCAGCAAGCAGGCGCAGGAAAAGTTCGACCTGAGCGAGGGCGGAGTGGCGCATGGCAGCCTGCGGGGGGCGTCAGGGGACCAGCTGAGCTTTGCCGCCGGACTGGTGTACTCTCTGACCCTACTGCAGGCCACTCTGCACAAATACGAGCAGTACGTCGCCGCCTATGCTCCCTGCTCCCAGAACTGACAGCTCAGCCAGAACTGGGGGATTTTCCCACACTGGCGCCATGGTTGTGGTTCCCAGTCGCTGCTGTTTTGCTGCCCTGTCACATACACTGCTGCTCTCTTCATGTTCTTCTTCATCTAGCTGCGCTATTTTGTGGCCAACAGATGGCGATGCGGAGTCTAACTGTGTAAGGGCGATCGAAACTGCAGGCAGACAAGCAAAGCTTATAGTGAACCCCCACCCTCCGAACCTTTTCAGATGCTATTTGATCCCACTATTACCTGGGTTATTGTTTAATCTTTGGATTAATATCAGTGGGGCTGTTGTTGGGTTTTATTTACCCTTGATATCAGTCAAAGCCACCTGAATTCATTGGAAGGGCTGATGAGGTGTCAGGTGAAGCCCCAATTCCCACCCCCCCCCGCCCCGCCCAGGACGACACCAGGCTCAGTCTCGTCCAGACAGGTTCCTGACCTTATCATTTGTCTTGCGTTAGCAAACAATGAGGCGTTTTGAAATGATTAACCTTTGTAAGAGCAGGTCAGAGGCTTGTGAAATTGGTCAGCGTTTGAGGATTTCGGAGGTTAACACACCCTAGCCGTACGCTGGTGTCCAAGTCACTTTAACGGCCTAGATATGCTCTGCCATACCGGATGCTGCTCAGCTCGTCCCATTCAAAGGGGGCTGTACCAGCACAGGCCTTTCCTCTGACCCAAAATCTGACCCAAAATCTGACCCAAAATCAGCATTGGGGCCATTGTGATCGAGTTGGTGAGTACCCCCTGGTGGTGGGGGAGTGAATGACTTGGTCCAGGAGCAGAGCGCTAAATAAGGATTCGAAACTGAGGTTCAATTGGTCTTCTCTCCTTTCTGTCTTGTTTTCAGTGTGTTTTAAACCAAAAACACTCCCAGGAACTCTTTAGCCTCGGTGGTGCCCTTATGTAATAGATTGTATAACAGTTTAATAAGTAGTCGGTTTTCAGCGAACATTGAGGCGCTGTACAAAGGTCCTGTTTCTCATTCCCCGGCATATTCCGGAGCAAGGGGACAGAGATGGACACTTGTGGTTCACAGCCCACTGCGGTGTTTGTGTTGCAGCGCCCTGAGCCAGTGTAGCGTGGAGGTGTACAAGCGGGTAGGGGCGCTCTACCCGGAGATGAGCGTGCACGAGCGAACCCTGGATCACCTGATCGAGCTGCTGCACAAGGACCAGCTGGACGAGACGGTCGTGGTGGAGCCCCTGACCAAAGCCATCAAGTACTACCAGGTAGCAGGCGTCTCCACGGCGACGGTGTGGGAGGGGGCAGGGGGGTCAGGCTGCCGAGCGCCGGCGAGGCCTCTGGGTCACATCGAGGCGCTTAAATTAAGGCGTAAATGCCGGATGTCGGCTCGTTAATGGACGAAAGGAAAATGCAGGAAAAAGTAGCATCAGGAACAGAGCAACAGATGACGCATCAACCCCCACCCCCCCAACCGGGCTGTCCTGTACCCTGCTAAATGGACCCACACTGAGATGTGCATGTAAAATTCATAATTGATTGGCATTTGCTCGGCTGTGAGAAGAGGGGCATTGTGTGGTTCACCTTCACCACAGAGCATATGGCCAGCCGTACCAACGTAGCACCCGGGGTTTGACTGGCGGACCTCATATCTGATATTCTGGGCTTCTCTGCTCCACAGCAACTGTACAGTGTCCACCTGGCAGAGGAGCCGGAGGACTGCACCATGCAACTGTCAGACCACATCAGGGTACGAGAGGCGCGGACCCCCCCTTCAGTCACTGCAATATCATTACAGTGGTGTCATGTGACTCAAGCCAGTGACGACAATCTTTTTGCATGACTCAGCACCCAGTCCCTCTGTACCTGCACTCATGGTGACTGATTTCTCCCTTTCTGGCACTGGTCCAGTTTACCCAGAGTGCCCTGGACTGCGTGGCAGTGGAGGTGGGTCGCCTGAGGGCGTATCTGCAGCCTGGCCAGGAATCCAGCAGCCTTGCCATCCTGCTGAAGGACCTGGACACGTCCTGCGCAGACACGCGGCAGTTCTGCAAGAAGATCCGGCGCAGGATGCCCAACGCGGACGTGCCGGGCATCCCAGCGGCCGTGGCCTTCGGCGAGCAGGTGCGCCGCGATCGTCTCTCCGCGGGGGTCCCTGGGGGGGTGCTGCTCTGGATCTGTCCTCTTCATCAGTTCATCAAGTGGGAAGGTCAGGTCCAGAGAGTAAAAGTCCAGACCAAGATTTTGTTTCGATCAAGCAGTTGAGTATCTGTGACTGTGACTCTTTATGTCTCAACTGGTTGGTCGGAACAAAATCTTGGGCTGGACTTCTAGTCTCTGGACCTGAATTACCGCGGGCTCAGCTCCCCACAAGCCTGCTCCTTTCAGAGATGCTCTCACCCACTGCTCAAGCCATAATGATCAGGCCCCGGTCAGAGTCACTCGCATCTTCACCCTCCTGCTCATTTCCGCCGCATTCCACGTCGGCTATGAGTACCAAGTGTTAGCTGAACATCTAATATATCCCACACCTTGACAAGCACCATCTTTCGT